GGTTTCGGTTAAGGTGTCCCGTAAATGAAAAATTCCTGAAAATTATGTAGTTAAGAAACGCGGTTCCTGAAAAATAGGTTAATCAATCGTTACCGAAACGACCGACGCTGTATGATCGGTTAAATCGGTTACCAGTGCTGCAAACCAAGGGTATGTTCCGTAAATACTCACGAGTTACCGGTCTGGTTACTGAAATAAATTCCTGGTTTTCCCGGTTAGTTCATATTTACGGGACACCTTTATTTGAAAAAACATAACCCAACTTATCAACATGTCAAGTCCATGTTATTTTAAAATATCTCATTTGACTATGCAACTCCATTAATTTGTTCATTTTGTTGAATCCAAAGGACTTGCAAAGTTTTTAAGATTTTTTATTAAAACTTTTATTTGTGGCAAAAACTACAACTTGGATATATTTTTAATAATATTTCTATAGTTACATAAACAAACCTAAAACACCCTATATACTGAATTCAATTATTTTTGGACAAAACTTATTTTGTATGCGAAGTCTGCTCCTGTGTTAAATTTTTAGGTTAGATAACCAACAAAAAACAGTAATTTTGTTTAGGGCAACACTGTTTCCATTTGGTTTGCAGCACTGGTAACCGATTTAACCGATCATACAGCGTCGGTCGTTTCGGTAACGATTGGGTAACCTATTTTTCAGGAACCGAGTTTCTTAACTACATAATTTTCAGGAATTTTTCATTTACGGGACACCTTAACCGAAACCAAACCAACCAAGTTGACTTACGGAACATATCCCAAATGGTAACAGTGTTGCCCTAAACAAAATTACTGTTTTTTGTTGGTTATCTAACCTAAAAATTTAACACAGGAGCAGACTTCGCATACAAAGGGTATGTTCCGTAAATACACACGAGTTACCGGTCTGGTTACTGAAATAAATTCCTGGTTTTCTCGGTTAGTTCATATTTACGGGACACCTTTATTTGAAAAAACATAACCCAACTTGCAAAGTTTTTAAGATTTTTTATTGAAACTTTTATTTGTGTCAAAAACTACAACTTGCATATATTTTTAATAATATTTCTATAGTTACATAAACAAACCTAAAACACCCTATATACTGAATTCAATTATTTTTGGACAAAACGTATTTTGTATGCTCCTGTGTTAAATTTTTGGGTTAGATAACCAACAAAAAACAGTAATTTTGTTTAGGGCAACACTGTTTCCATTTGGTTTGCAGCACTGGTAACCGATTTAACCGATCATACAGCGTCGGTCGTTTCGGTAACGATTGGATAACCTATTTTTCAGGAACCGCGTTTCTTAACTACATAATTTTCAGGAATTTTTTATTTACGGGACACCTTAACCGAAACCAAACCAACCAAGTTGATTTACGGAACATACCCAAAATACGTTTTGTCAAAAAATAATTGAATTCTATATATAGGGTGTTTTAGGTTTGTTTATGTAACTATAGAAATATTATTAAAAATATATGCAAGTTGTAGTTTTTGACACAAATAAAAGTTTCAATAAAAAAGTAAGTTGGGTTATGTTTTTTTCAAATAAAGGTGTCCCGTAAATATGAACTAACCGAGAAAACCAGGAATTTATTTCAGTAACCAGACCGGTAACTCGTGTGTATTTACGGAACATACCCTAAATTTGATTTGTATATTTGAAAAACAATAAATATAACTAATTTTTTGTGCCTAAACCTTAATTATACAACTGCTATTATTTTTTAATTAATAAATAATACAGTAATATCTACATATTTTTAAATTTTTTAAGTTTAGTAAACAGCCAGGAGATGTGACCATTCTTAAACAAAAGTAGGAATATTCTCGCACAGTATTGCAGAAAAACATCATTTCTATGATTAAAAATTACACTAGAATGTTACTATTCTTAAGTAGTCGTAGAGAAACAATATTTTAGCATAAAAGAATATTTATTGCTTAAAGAAAAAACTTATTAGTGGAATAAGTATAGTTCTCTTTAAAACAAATACAAAATCTCTTGAATGCTTCTTCTTTCAACCAAGTGCAAAGTGTTTTTGTTCAAAAGCTATGAAAATTATTTATATTTACGCAATTCATTCAAGATACATCACAATTATCCCAATAGCATGTCAATTTTCTAACAAAATCTGGTAGCTTCTGATACATGAAAGGGGATGCAAAACACGCACACCGTTTGCGGCACACGTGTTTAGTACGTTTTGTATCATTGCAACTTGCAATTCGCCATTTTCTAGGGGCAGTGATATAATATTATAATTCTATTATAGGTATTTCTAATATACATTTTGCCGGTTGTGTTGTGTTGTGGCGTGTTGTATGTACTTTCACGATGGAGTTGGAAACATTAAAACTCTTTTTGAATAAATGAAATTTAATTAATTTCTTTAATGTTTTTTAGTTTATTGGTTTTAGTATAAAAAAAAACCTGCGCTTTTGTTGAAATAAAACAATAAATTTCTTATTTTATTTATATATTTTTTTTTGTAAACCTTTTTTTTTAGTCAATCTTGTAGTTTTCAACGATGCCAATATTTAGGCTTAAACTCCTCTCACTACGAAGGTCCTTGATTTTAATTGTTAATGCATGTTTTAAAAATTAAAATCAAAAGGCCTGTGTGGTGAGGAGAATTTAAGCTTAAATACTAACAACGCTGGTAGTTTCGTTGAAGATCAGAAGCTTTTGAATAAAGCAATACACTATTGGACCAAGAGATATTTCTTCTAAAATTAAAATAAAATGTGGTTAGGTCAATAGTATATGCTTTTGTAGCTTGACAAATTTTCTTTCTTAGAAAGTTCCTAAGCTTTTCAATTAAGAGTTTTCTTGTCAAAAATCCCACTTTTTGCGCTTCATTCGAAAAAAATATTTTTGGTCCTTGTACCAAGAAATTGCTTGCTCTTGATTTAAGCTAATACTGTAATAACCTTAAACGAATAATCAAGTAATTAAAAAAATATATATATTTAAAGATAGTTTCTGATTTAGATTAAGAAACATAGCTCTTGGCCCTATTCAAAAGCGCAAATCTTTTGAATCAAAGTGATTTTTATTTCTTTTAAGAGATTATTTTTTTCAGTGTACCAAGGCCAAAAAGTGACTTTTTCTGGACAAGTCTGATTTTAATGAGCTAGGAAAAAACACTTTTTAGCAGGGGTGCACGCAAAATTTATAAGCGGAGTCTAAAATAAGCATAAAGTATTTTAATAACTTTTAAATTTTTAAAATGTTTGTCTTGTCAAGGTTTTTTAAGTCATAAGTCACTAACTGCTATTTTTTATCAGTAATATTGTTTACAAATGCCACTCGTTTTGCTCCAGGACGTCTAGGATTCAAAATAATTGCGTAATAAAATGCTCTGCTCAATTATCTCAAAATGTAAGTTTTTCGTTAATATTTTGATTATTATTATTATTATTATTATTATTATTATTTATTAAATTTTTTTTTCTTAAATCTATTTTGGATGTTCAGTATATTTGTAACGTTTTTTGTCAAAAATATACAGGGACTCCATACAAAGTCAAGTATATAAATGTCAAATATAATTTTTTTTGTTTCATTGTAGCCGTTGTCTTTAGAAGTATTAAATACCAAAACTAAAATTATAATGTTTTTTTTGGTAAAAAGTATAATTTTTTGAAATTTTTGTGTCGTTTTTTAATTACTAATTAAATTGAAAAGGCAACAAAGTAAATGGGTTTCGGTGTAAACATTACTCTTCGACTATTATTTGATATTTTTTTATTCACATCATGCTTAAAGTACCCAAAAATTCAATCTCCAATCTTATTTATTAAGTCTTATTAAAATTTAATATCGAATTGAAGTATAAAGACGCCTTTACCTAATTTATCGTTCAAGCACATTAAGTGCATCTATAGATTAATATATTAATTATTGACATTTAAAATTTAAATTATATTTTTACTTGAAAGTGATTTTAAGAACCAAAAATGAAAAAAGAGCAGGAAATGGAAGTGGCACTGAAAGAGAAAGAAGACGAACCCGAATGTCGTCGTTGTAAATTTGTTTTGTTTTTGTTGCGGTACCTTTACGCCCAAGAAAAACCAACGCAATATTTCATTACAAAATTTTATGAGATATATATACCTACTAGGTACTTTAATTTTTCAGGAATATTAAATGGACCTTATACGATGTTTAATGAAAGATCAAGCGTTCAAAAATGCTCTCAAAGTTTACGAGCTTGTCACATTTGGCAGTGTTAAAGCTGTCATTAAAAATGTTCTTAGTTCATATCGGGCCTAAAATTGGCGCCAATTCATTGAAAAAATGCTCCCCATTTTGTATACTTTATAAAGAATTAACGTTAATATGTCATTTAAAATACATTTTCTTTTTTTCTTCCTGATAAATTTGCCGAACTGATGAACATGGAGAACGATTGTTGGATTCATTGCTAGGAAAAATTTGCTGGAATTTGCAGCAAAAGATGTACGACGATGATGAGGATTAAGCACAATAATACTTCAATTCGATATTTGATACGATTTAATAAATTTAAGGTAGAAAAAAGCAAAATTATGCAATGAATTTAATTTTGTGGGCTTAATTTAGATAAAAAATACCGAAACTTGTTTACTTTGTTGCCCTTTCAATTAAATAATTAATATAAACGACAAAAAATTTCAAATAATAAATGTTTTTTTACATAAAAACATGTTGATTGAGCAGAGTATTTTATTACGAAATTATTTTAAATCCTAGACGTCCTAGAGAAAAACAACATCAGCGGTCCGAAATTAGTTAAACTAAGCTGGAGTACTCAATGTTAGGAAAAAAAAGTTTTTAAAACTATCAACAAAATATTTATAACCTGACGCCATTAACAACATTTGAACATTGACAGATTCGTGGTAACCATAGATACATCAACTCACCCGTCACAGGTTTCTTGATACAAAATAATATTTAAAATTTTAGATAGTTATTATTAACTTTAGGTATAGAGAACAGTAACATCAAATTTAGCCTAATTTGCCCTGGATTTTTTCACCAGGTAAACAAATGTTAATATTTTTTTTATATTTAAAAAAAAATTAAATCTCATATTTACTGGATTTATATTCATGTATAAATAAGTCGAATTAATGGCAAATTAGAGTCAATAGTTTGCCTGATGCGAACGATTAAGGTATTATCGAGTAGAATTTTGTTGTCCTTAGCGTAAGCCTTAACTCCTCCGATACAATCATTTCCCAAAATTTGATTACTAATAGTAATTTTTACAGTTTCTCCTGATAGTTTGCGGTATTCTTTTGCAGCTTCATCGAGGACTTTTTTCACCAAATCAACATCTCGCTTCATTACGGATATCGACACTTCTCTTTCGAGCAGCATGCACAACGCTTGCACTATCAGCTGTTTCAGTATGACGCGGTAATTTTTCTCGTTCTTGATGTGCTCGACGAGGCCTTGCATGACGTCCGCCTCGATCATCTCCACGCACTTCGTCCTCGCCTCTTGCACCTGAGTCAATCCAAATTAAAACACCAAATGGGGTGCGCTGCTTGATTTTTTATTTTGATAAAAAAAATTGAGGATGATCTTTTAGGTATCAAATATGAAAATCCGTTGCCGTTTTAATTTTTGGATTCTTCACTTTTAATCGGCACCCTTTAGAAATCTGAAATCGTGCCAATTTCTTACTCTCTTATAGTGGGCCAGAACTTTTTTTTCGTGACAAATATTGAAATGATTTTAATTTTGTTTTACTGTTCAGTAAGTGTGTTTTCGATATAAATTATTATTATCAAATTAGTTAATCTCATAAAAAAATGGTAAACCACTAAAGATTCGTGATAATTTGACAATTTTTGTGTTTTTTGTCTGGCTCCTATTCTACTAAATCTAGAAAGGTATTTTTTTTCAGGTATCAAGTACTTATACAATAGAAAAAAGGAAAAAATAAAAATCTGAAACTTTCAGGAAATGTAGTCCCCACCTTTATCTTTTCAGTCTAGTTAGTTTTGTTTTGTTACTTTTATCCATGTAAAAGATATAATAATTTTTTTAATGCAGTTAAGAAGCGATATTGTTAGTTTTATTTATAATTTAAAATTTAGATGGCTTTGACTTAGTCAATTCATGTTTGGTAGAGAAATGTCAGAACTGAACGCATTTTTTATTTAAATTAACTTTATTAATTTCACTTATTACTTTACGATATAAAGGATCTTGAATATATTTTTTACATTCTTCTATAAATTATATAATTTATATGTTATGGCTAATGTGCAAACTTGGATAATTTATAAACTAGCTGGATAGTTTATAAACTAGCCAAACAGTCAGCTATTTTAATTGAAAACATATTTTCAACTAAATTAGCGGCTAGTTTACAAAATAACCAAGGACCTTGGCTAATTTACTTGAAATTATTAGGGAAACTAAAATAGCTGGATAGTTTGCATACTATCCAATTCAGTTTGGCTAATATGAAAACCAAAATTTCTAGTAACACAAAATAGCCAAGCTTTAGCTAGTTTGTAAACTAACCAACCAATTCTCTGGCTAATTTATTAAAAAAGTGAGGTTACGGCATTGTTTTTCGTTTTGCCGGCTTAACCGGATTTGTTTTGTGCATTTTAACGTTTTTAAAATGAATCATAGGCAAAATTTTAACGCTTCCTTGTTAGAAAACTCAACAACACAACCCTACCGACTAAAATGGGCAATAGCCAGAGAATTAGTTGGTTAGTCTACAAACTAGCTAAAGCTTGGCTATTTTGTGTTACTAGAAATTTTGGTTTTCATATTAGCCAAACTGAATTGGATAGTATACAAACCATCCAGCTATTTTAGTTTCCCTAATGCAGTTTTAGTGATTTTTTAGACTTTTAAAAGCTTTCAAACATACGAATTTTTGAATTAAAAAAAATATTTCTGGTATAGATTCTTTGGGAAATTTTATGCTCTACAAGAATCCGCGACGTACAAATTTTTATCTCAAACGGTTCAAAAGTTATAGTCTTTTTAATGAAAAAAGATTTTTTTACGTGTTATTTCAATGGAAAACTTAGAATGCTCACCGACACCTTTTAAAATTGAGCAAAAAATTTTGCCATGCAGGGAAATTCTTTGCTCGGTATCTAGGTTCATTTTAACCCATAAATCCGATAGGTTAGTTTTTTTGGCTCACCCTAATATATATATATATATATATGATTATACAATACATAAAATATAACATAACTACCAAATATATCAGAACTGTCAAAAATATTTTATAATTATACCAAATATATCAGAACTGTCAATAATTATTATTTGTGGTATTCCTTTGGTGATTTTAAAAAGTTTTGTATATAACATAATATGACATATTATGTTATATACAAAATTTACCAAAGAAATACGTATAAATAATATTTATGAAATAGTTTTGACAGTTCTGACACTTCTCCACCAAACATGAAAGCCATCTAAAACTAACAATATCGCTACTAAACTGGCATTAAAAAAATTAATATATCTTTTAAAGAAATAAAAATAACAAAACAAGACTAACTGGACTGAAAAGATGAAGGTGGGGACTACATTTCCTGAAAGTTTCAGATTTTTATTTTTTCCTCAACATAATGATTTCTGAGGGCAAAATTGGCTAATTTTGAGAATTATCAATTTTCAATAATTTTTTTAATAAAGAAAGTGATAGTCTAGAAACTTAAAATAATAGTTAAGTTTTCTATTGTATAAGTACTTGATACCTGAAAAAAATAACTTTCTAGATTTAGTAGAATAGGCACAGGAGCCAGACAAAAATCACAAAAATTGTCAAATTATCATGAATCTTTAGTGGTTTACCATTCTTTTATGAGATTAACTAATTGGATAATATTAATTTATATCGAAAACACACTTACTGAAATGTAAAACAAAATTAAAATCATTTCAATATTTGTCACAGAAAAAAGTTCTGGCCCACTATAAGAGAGTAAGAAATTGACACTATTTTAGACTTCTAAGGGGTGCCGATTAAAAGTAAAGAATCCAAAAATTAAAACGGCAACGGATTTTCATATTTGACACCTAAAAGATCATCCTCAATTTTTTTTATCAAAATAAAAAATCAAGCGTCGCACCCCATTTGGTGTTTTTATTTGGAATGACTCACCTTCATCTTGCTGTCGTGTTGGTACTTGTCCACTTGCATGGCGTGTTCCGTCATCAACTTCTTGTGCTTTTCCGCCCAGATCTTGTCGATTTCCGCCACTTTAACCTTCACGATTTCGCGTTTTTTCCGCTGAAACTCGTCTTCCGCCATTATTTGGATCTCTTCCTCCTTTTCCAGCGCGTCTGACAGGATTAGCGACTCCATGATGCGCGTGCCGTCCATTGGGGAGTCCATTTTCGATTTTTATTACGGAGAATTTTGCAGCATTCAGTTTAAGACAATGTGGATATTAGAACTGTCTAAATAATGACATATTGACACTGAGTTTGTGGTTAAACCAAACTTTGTCAATTTTATTTTGTAATATTTCAACAAAGGAATAGCTATTTGTGTATTAACGTTGTCCTGGAGTTAGTGTCGAATAATCAAAATTTGATAAAAATGTACCAATAAATTCTTTATGATGCTTCACATCATTCTGTTTAATTTAATAATAGTTATTTATGTCATTAGGTTAAGAAGTAAGGCTTTTTGTGCTAAGCTCAAGGTTTGAAGGCCGACGCGTAGCGGAGGCCTACAATTGAGCAAAGTACAAAAAGACACTTCTTGACCGAATGGCATACAACATTTTATCTTCAAAGCACTTTATATAGGTCAATTTAATTCAACATCAAAGCGGCCTAACCTCACTTTTTTAGAATCTCATTTATTTATTAGCTAAAGGTTACATTAAATGTACAATAATTATTATTGCCTTTAGAAGCAGTAATAGTTTGACAATACCTAGCAACATGATTTAAGTAGAAATGAATACATTGAATTCAATTAATTGTTTAATAAATAGGTAGGTATCTAATTTAAATTTGTTTGGATTTTTATTTAAAAAATAGGTAGTTTGGAATGTTTAAGCTGTATTTAACATTAAATTTCACTGAAAACTTAAAGCAAATTAAAACTTAAAGATAATTTAAATCGTAGAAAAAGAATCGTGCGTTTTCTTGGTTGCCTAACCTCACTTTTTGTTTTATTATTCATATTTAATTTTACAATAATTTAATGAAAAATATTAAACATTAACAGTAAAACAAACAAATTAGTGCTTATTATAAATAAATTAAACCACACTGAGAGAAATCATACTATTATAATAAACAAATCATATATTTGGTAGTTTTCAGTTATAATTAAAAAATATTGTTTCTGAATAACAAATATTTGTTTATTATTTCAATACGGCAAAATTAATATATTTTTATTTAATATGCCAATTGTTTTATTGAGTTTGCTTAAAATAAATAAATATTTCTTTATAAAAACCAAACGGATTAATACATTTAAAACATAGATATATCTATTAATTAAAAATAAATCATATTTTTTAATAAATAAATATATTTTTTCAAACTTCCATAAAACAAATGATAAAATTTTAATTAATAAATAATGCATTTGTAAGAAATACATGTTTATTGTTGAATATGTTTTCTTTATTAAATGTTACACGTTTTGTTTACAATAAAGCTGTGTTTAGTAAAAAATAATAAATAATTTTTTTATTAATAAATATATTTTGCAAAATTTGCTACATATGCCCTAAAATACGTTATTTACTTATTTCGCGTCCTCGCGTAAGCATCATCAGTTTTAGTTTTATGTTGTGAAGTATACTATAGTGAAGTACCTGTAAAAAATGGATTCTAGGACTTTCTTATCGATCTCGGTTTAAGTGATGTTGTGTCCAATTGTAAAGGTAATTTATAAAAGATTTTTTCTTCTTTAAAATGTTAACAATGATTTTAATAAATGAAAAGCTTTATGACGGAATATTTACCATCAGGTTCAAACTTCTAAAGTAGCAACTAAAATGTGATTTTTAATGCATTATTGCAATGATTACATTCTGTTATGATATTCTTAGTTATAACTTTATTAAGAGATCTTCGCTATATATATTTTTTGTTTATATCCAAATTTTTATTTTAGAATAGAAGATGCGTCAGTTGTTTTTTTAACAGAAGATTCTTATCAACCTGCTGTTTACAATAAATAAAGATGGCCAACCACTGTTCTCCATACTCCAAACGTTAATTAGCAATATCGACACTTTAAACGAACCAACTTTAAGTCATGACATTGAATAGTCATTTTGTACAAAATCAAATGACCGATCTTAAAGACAGGAAACACAAATAACATTGGCGTATTTAGAAGAACAACTATATATTATAAATATTAAAACATTTTTTATTATTTAAAATTTGTTATTTATTAACAAATTCATTGTTTTGTGTAAAAAACAAACTTTTACAATAAATAAATATTCAATTTTTATTGCTTGAAATTTGTTTATTATTAACAAAGGTTTTATTTTTATGCAATATGGTATAAATTTGTTTTAAATAAATATTTTTTTTATTTTTAATAAATGTATTTTAATTATTTATATTTTAAGATCGTAGTAAAAAATAAATATATTATTTATTAAGAAACATACAAAAACAAACGCTTTATTACATTTAAATGGGATGTTTATTAACCCTATATGCAATAAAGCATTTATTAAATATAAATAAAACTGCTTTATAAAAAATAAACTGTTTTCTCAGTGCAGTTTAGTACACTAATTTCTTAGAAAAGGATTACATTGTCAAAACAATACCCCTAGCGAGAAAAAATCGAACTAATTACTTGCCTCATAAAAATTTTTATCGGCCTAGGCCATAACAAGGTATTTCTTTATCGAATGTTGACAACAATAAAGTTTAAATTATAGACCGCGTGGAGATAAAAATTCTTGTCGTTGGGAGCCGAGTATTTATAAATACATTTCAAAGTTGAGTAAAAATACACAGGTTCTTATGGCATCACGTGGATTGTTACTCTTTTCTCCTCCGAAATAATTATTGGTAATGACAGGATTGCAATGAAAAATGAGTATATAGTGGAGGGTAATTTCAAAACATGATACGCGAAGTTCCATAATGATCATGTTGGTAGGAAAAAAGTTCTATTGGATTAAATCGGTGAATTCACGAAATTTGACACTTGCACTGTAGATTCGTGGCAACGTCGCTGACGTCAGATAGAAACGCTCTCGCCCAGTGCTTCATAGGTGTGAGTGAGAACGTATGTAGCAAGCACAGACCACCAAAACAAATGGACGGATTTGTTTACGTTTAAAAAGCGAGTAAAGCATACTTTCACATTCTAAACACCGTCAAAAGAAACAAGGCTTCCAACGTTGTCAGAAGTATAGCCTTTTTGGACGTTTATCATAACATTTCTATGATAATGAACATTAAAAATTATCAGTAACTCGTTTGAATAATAAAAAAATTGTAAAAAGGATTTGTTCATCATTTTCTTTAGATATTTTTCTCTATTTAAAGAAAATAATCATTTAATAATTATTAAAATTAAATATTAACAACGTTGATAACCTTTATAATCTGTGGATAAATTCGTCATATTGACAGCATAGAAAAAGGTTTGACAGCTTGTTGTTTTGTGTTTTATAATATGTGGCTTTCGTTTGTGTATTTCTATCGTGTTTTATTGAGTTTAAATACATTATTTTTTACTAAAAATGGTGCGACAGTGTTCTGTTTGTAAAAAAACAAACCAAAGAAATCCAAATCTATCCTTTCATAGGTAAGTAAGCAAATTTACATATCATACGTCACTGGAAGAAAACATAAAATTCTATATCCAATTTAACGCTTAGACTGTGACCGTTTGTTGACGTCACTGGAAGAAAACATAAAATTCTATCTCCAATTTGACGCTTAGACTGTGACCGTTTGTTGACCGCAAACAAAGCATTGTTATTGAATGGCAATGCGCCGTCCATTTGTTTTGGTGGTCTGTGGTAGCAAGCGTAAGGGGCCGTTCATTAATTACGTGAGACAATTTTGGCGATTTTCTCGCAATTTTACACTCTTTCTTTCGGAAAAAAAAAATTACGTGATATTTTCCGAGAGCCCCCCTCCCCCCCACGTGAGATTTGGTGAGGTTTGGCTCGACCCCCTCCCCCCCTAAACACCTCACGTAATTAATGAACGGCCCCTAAGGGTGAAAGAGACAGCGAATACGACGTTGCCAAGCGTTGCGAATGTTATTGGCGAAATTTTTAAAAGCGATGTTATAGATTTTTATTCATTCACATACACTATAACAACGCCTCATGAACTGACAATGCAATTACGTTGCAAAATAATAATAAAATCGCCTAAAAATGGAATTTATACCCATATGAATTTTGGTTGCAAGTTGGCAACGGATTTTAAATCTATAATGCTGTAGGATAGGACATAGTTCTACCACGATCGAAACAATAAAACTCATGCCCGGACAACAAAGTGATACATTTCCGCTCTGAGCGTAGCGGAACGCGGCTATCTCGCGAGAGCGGCAATGTCACTTTGCGCTCCAATTACCCACAGGATTTTTTTCTACAACCGGTGTTTCTATAAGAATGTTTGGTAAAAATTATTAATTATTGATAACCTCAAATTTAATTTTTATGTCAAAAATCGCAAATACAGTAAACGTTTCTTTATTATGGTTTCCATGGTAACTAAGCGAGCGACAAAGTAAAAAAACACTTGCTCCTCGGAAAAGTGCAACTAATTTATACTTTTCGCTGGTAGAAAACATATTTTACCGAAAGTTTTGTAAAGGTATACCTTATTATTATATTATTATATTATTATATTATTATATTATATTATTATTATATTATTATATATTATTATTATATTATTATAATATGCAATTTTGAAGCATTTTGTTAATTTTAAAGGTATACCTTTAAATCTGTTATAACAGATTATTTTGTTAATGTGTTGTTTAAGTTTTTTGAAGTATGGACTTAAGCAAATGTTGAGCTTATATACTGTGCTGGTAAGCCAACAGAGGCGAGCTTTAAGAACACCATGTGTTCCACTACTCCAAGTTGCCCGAGACTATTTCTTATGAAGAAAGTTTCTTGGAGAAACTAAGAAAATTAAATGTTTACCTAAATATTTTTTTGGTCTGTTCTATTTCGTTTTGTACATACTAAAAATAACCAAGTAAGGCAACTCACTGCAAAGACTCTAACGGCGGCCATTTTGTGTTGCTTACAATTCTTGTGCTTTGGGTTTGTGCTGATAGACAGATTAATAATCTTTTTAAACGTTGTGTTTCTTTCAGACGCGTCTTTTGTAAAAAATATCGCTGTGTCTAGTCTCACGCTAGCGTGAACGCAATTTTATTCTTATTCTCACTCGGTGACGT